TATATATATATATATATATGCTATCTAAATGCTTCGAAATTAGTAATTATCGCATCATCGAATACTTAAAGCATCGATATTACGCATTTTTCCCCTTATCATAATACACACGGAGAGAATTGCTTAAACGAAATGAAGAAAGCTCCTATTAATAACTCAAAACCCATTATTTCTAGTCAAAAGAAAAACCATTTCTACCGAAGTTGAGCCCATTTCTACCGACCGAAATGGTTCTAAAAGGGAAAAAAGAGAAAAAAAAGCCACAACATTTCACTTGTTTTGAGAAGACATTGACCCCGGTCTATCATCACAGCCCTTCTGTATAAGAAACTCCAGTAGACTTCAACCAAACCCCTCCTTGTATCAACTCAGCCACCGTGAATTTCTTGGCCTCATTAGCACTAGTAATGACATGATAACCTGGCCACTTCACTCTCTTACTAGTACCAGCACCGGCTCCCTGGTTCAAATACTCACCGTAATACAAAGTCTTTAGGGCAAACTCCCCATCCCACGCTGACCACCCAGCTGGATCAATAAGGTCACCAATATTGGACTGCATTACAACAGTCCTTGAGTACTCCTTCCATGGACGGCCCAAGTATGATTTGAATGAGCTCTTAACAGGAGTAAGATCAGAGCTTGCTATAATGTCACATTTCTGGATTGATGTCCCAGTGTTTTGGTTTGGGTCAGTTCTTCCTTGGGCTGTTACCATGTTCTTTTGTCCACTCATGGGCTTTCGTGGTACAAGCTTGCAGTTTTGGAGCACCACAGCAGCATTGCCGAAGATGAAGTCCACCGTGCCAGTAATATAGCTATCCCTGTAGAATTGCCGGAGGCTGTGGGTGTAGAGGGTGTCTTGATAGGCATCAATGCGGCATCGGTTAATCACTGATTGATCAGCTCCGACGCGGAGGGCCACCGCTTGATGCTTCTCTGGGCCAGCGGTGTTTTGGAACCAAATGTCCTGGGCTATGAATCCATCACCAACAGCAGCTGCATTCATAGATCATAAAACTTGGTTAGTTTGACGTCGAATGTGGGCGAGTATTTAATTTGTAAGAAACTAATTATGAAAGGTACCAGCCTTTTAATTCGTAAGCATGCTTGTGATTTGGGCTTATTCTAAGCTTCCTTTTGGAATCAAATGTTTTTTACCTCATTTAGATGTGAGATATTGTATCATAAAATATTTTTTAATTAAAAATGCATATTTAAAAAAAAATTATTTTTTAGATTGATGAATCAAAATCACCTAAAAATATATCTTATGCTTTTTTAAATGAAAATAAAATTAAAAATTACTTTAAAAAATTAATTATAATACAAAAACAAACACTCACTAATTCAAGAAATTAATGAGTGACACATATAATACAATAAAAAATATCGAAACCCATTGGAAAATCAAATCTATTATAATATAAATTATAAATATTTAATATAATAATTAATTATAATGTGAATATTATCATCCAATCAGACAATTTTAATCCAAATAAATCATGTTTATTGTAATTTTTTAAAATATTTATCTAAATCATTATTATATTAAAATAAATATTCAATATCATCAAAATGAGTAAATCTACTCCAAATAATATAGTAATGAATTCACTCCAAAAGTAATTTCTTCAAATCACTGAAGAAAACTCATTCACTGATTTATATTAGCCGGCTTGTTGTCCTTCATAACGAAAGAGGGCAAGCTTTAAGATATATTTGAATTTTCCCTTTGTTTGTCTTTTCTATATGGTGGCGTGTTCGAATGTGCTCTCTGATCTACCTAGTTGGACTCCTAAATGAAATGAAATAATATCTGGAAAAAGAAAACCATCGGCATCGATTTTATGATAAGAAAAGGGCTGGATTTGATTTGTAGAAGAAATAAAGAAAAGGAAAGAGGAGTGAGATCTTTACCTACGGTGGCAGATTTGAATGTTGTAGACCCATCAACAACATTCAAATTACCAGTAATGATAGTGGAATCCATGCCATCACCAACAAGCATCACGTTCTTCTTTTTCTTTCCCACTTCCACATTCTCCTTGTATGTCCCCTTCTTCACATAAATAACATACCTGGTCTTGCCATTATCTGGTGCTGATGCCACAGCCTCTTTCACAGTCTTGTACTTACCACTCCCATCTTTAGCCACTGTAACATCAGCGTTGATGTCCTTTGGCAAAGTAATTAGAAGCTTTCTATCCATGCTAGGTAGCCATGATGGAAAATCTTCTTTCAATGGAAAGATGTCATTATTTTCTTTCGAGGGTGAAATTGCAGCTAGTATGGCTAGAGAAGTTCTCGCTCTCAATATCAAGTCATTGAGGTCTAGCTCCATTGTGGATCTGGCTGGACCATTTAGCCCATCTAAGCATGTATCGTGGTTGGTGAGGACACTGCTAAGCCACGTAAGAGCATTTGCATGGGATTCGGATGTAACTCTTTCAAGAGCAACTATTGTGTCCTTGATTCTGTACTTGGAGATCTCCATCAGCTCCACACAATCTCCTAGAGCGGCTTGCTCTCTAGCATCATTGATCCGACTGTGAATAACCTCGGCCTTTTCAATAGTATCTTGTATGTGGGATGTGGATTTTCCTAGCAAGAGCTGAAGTAGACCGACTTGGCTCATTTTAGTGGATGTGTATGAAGCTATTTGTGAGACCATGGCTAGGCATGATTCTTGGTCATAGGCATGGTCACATAAGTTTTGCAATAGGCCAGGAGGGGAAGAGGGGTCAGTTTTTGTGTAATAGCGCATGGTAACTAGTGTGGTTGAGCTTAAGATTGCAACCATGGAGATAACTAGACATATAGTTTTGCGACAAGAGGTTTTGGGGGTGGCTAATAGAGGAGTATTCATTGTTGCCATGGTAGCAGTGTATGCTTTTTCCATGGACTTATCCTCTCTTGTATTTATAGTGCTCCATGAATTAAGATACGACAAAGCAAATAGACAATAAGAGAATTGTCTCTTTAGTCTATGCTCATAATGTATTAAAATCGAAGTTGTCGACACCTAAAAGTCACATGTGTGTGTTTTTAGGATAAGTTATAAAAATGCATTGGTTCATGCAAAAAGAAATTCCGCAGTAAAGGCTACTTTTGAACCTTTGAGATTAAATTAAAGTAGTATTTGATTACTATTTTAAAATATAAAAAATGTAGTGTTTGATTACTATTTTAAAATATAAAAAATGAAGATTATTTGGATAAAAGAGATAAATTTTTTACAAAGAATATAAATTCTTATAGAGAATATAAATTTACTTTAAAATTATTTTAGATATATATTTATCTTTATATTATTGTCTTTATTCTTCTAAATAAACATATTATTCTTCTTTTATCCTAAAACACTGATTAAAATGCAAACTCAATAGTCTTTATAAATGATCTTAAAGAAACATCCTACACACACACATAAAAAAAATTAATAAATTCTTCTAAGTTATATTATACCTCCACTCAATACAAAATAATAAATAAATTAAATTATGAAAATATTATTGAAACTTTCCTTGACACATCCACATCATACCATATATCTATTTAAAAAAACTGTCATCATATCTCAGAATCAAAACTATATTCATATATATTTCACTCTATTTCAATCTGTTCCAATTCTATTTTTTTTCTTTAAATAGAATACAAAATATGCTATCATTCTATATATATACATATATATATATATTGAATAAAAATATGCTATCATTCTATATATATATACATATATATTGAATACTTACAAACTAACATTAATAAAATAATTAAGAAGAATAAAAACCGTAAAATAATATAGTGTATTCATAGACGATAGGAAGCATCTAGGATTATTTTCGTTTTCTGTAGTAGGTAAATATCGCTATCATTCCACGTGATTAGTCGTAGCATTCTTAAAGAGCTGCAGTAGTGGAATGTTGACTGGTTTCAATTTGAAACCATCAATTTTCTTAAACCACGAAAACTACGAGCACACATAAATTCACTAAAGACTTGAGATATTTCCATTTATATTTCACACCTTTAGATAACATTTTCCGGATTTTTAAGCATCGAGACAATATCTACATTCAAAGAAAAATATCTATAATAATTTAGTATGGTTTTAAACTGTAATTTTCATGGTTTGATTTTGTTTAAATTGTAAAAGCCATGGGAGGAATATATTCCTTTAATAGATCAGATCAACCCTTCTTATTTTACTAATTATGTCTAGCCATTCACATGGCATCATAAAGAAGGAAGTGGGTATTTTCTTATGAATATGGAGGCAATCATGGCACTGGCTAAAATAATTTATTATATATACGAAAGTTGTTTCATTCATAGGCGGTTCCCATTTCATGGACGTGTCATAATTAGCCCATAGTGGATAAAATGATGGAATTCTTTAATTTTTTCAACGGGCGACACGATTACCTTATCTACCATTTTTTTTTCTAGAATCATATATATATATATATATGATTTTATATTGTAAAAGTTTTTTTTTAAAATGCTTTATTATTTTATTCTAAGTTAATTTTTATATTGTTTTGATATATTGATATTAAAAATAATTTTTTTACAAATATCTTAATATATTTTAAAATAAAAAATATTTTAAAAACAATAAAATGAGTAATCTTTAAAATTCTAGGGGCTGCCTCAGACTTATATCTACTTGGAAACTTTTGATTTTTTAATTGTTATCACATATTGATTGCGATTTGCTAGAAAGATAAGACAGCCAAGAAAGTTATGAAGATAGTGCCAAAAACTACCTTAGTTTTCAACTTTAAAATTCTTTGGGGAAAATATTGTTTTTGTGCGTAATCATAGTTTTCTTCATCCACTTGCTTAGGAGTTTCCAAGTTTCTCATTCAAGTTTCAACAAAATCTGAATTTGTAGCAGCCCGAGGATAAAGAAAGTTACGATATAATTGCTTATCTTTATATTTTAATACTGAGATCAAGCCCGAGGAGTTTGGCATTCCAACAACTCCTTGCCCCTCTTCGTTGACTAGAATACGAAGACAACGAGGTTAAAAGACCTGGCGTGCAAAACCCCGCATGAACATCAGATCAAAGGTTGTAAGATACTGGTGAGTAGTTTTGTAATAAATTATTTAGTCAAGAAAATTAGTCATTGTTATTTAGTTAAACAGAAAAATAATTTGTAACAGTAAGGGGTGATGATGTCAATGAGATCACGTTAATATCAGCATTAACACAAACGTGATTAGCTGTTTCAGGTTATAGAATCTAACAACATCGGTGGGGTGTGCTAGTGTCGGTACAGTAAAAAATTGATTATCTAAAAATTAAAGGTTAATGATGTCGGGTAATTGATATTGGCATATCTTTAATTAGTTATGTTTAATTAAATAAAACTTATTAAAATTGGAAAAATTCATGTTTTCTATTAAAAATTTTAAAATGTTTATGTAAACATAAATGCATGCATGTTTATTTCGTATTACTCTATATTTTTAATGTGATGGTTGTGACTCGAGATTATTATTTATCTTGAAATATTTTTTAAAATATAATAGGATTGACATGTTTTAAAAACATATATATATATATATATATATATATATATTACTTAATTTTTCCTGAATTTAAGGTTAATGAAAGATTTATATCATTAAGAATTTACAAGGATGGTATACGATGAGTCATAGGTTACTTTAATTAACTTGTCTAGGTTTTGTCTTTTTATTAAAAAAAAAATTATTTAAGATAAATTAAAAAAATTAAAAAAAATATTTTTGGATAAAACCTTTTTAGAAAATGAAACTTTCAACCCACCAATTTCTTAAATAATTCAAGATTAAACCTAATCTAAGATAAATTTAAGATTAAAGAGTCATTGAGTTGATTAAATACGTCAAACTCAATTTAATAACTATGAATACATATTTAAGGGTAATTGTTTTATTTTTGGATTGTATAGTTAATTATAATGCCAAAAAATTATTTCTAAGAATTTTTTTCATTTAATTATTAGTGTATTCCTGAGTGTGCATCAATCAAAATTAAGCATTTTATTAGAGTAATTTTGAAGGTTTACACATATACCTAATACCCTTCACATTCACATTGATATTTTAGTGCATTCAAAGAAGCACTAATAGAAAAATTTGAGTGTTGGTTCCAAAATCGAACATTTAACAGCAGTGCTGTCACCTTTTCTTCTTTTTTCACGTGTTGCAGCGGACAAAGTCTTCTTTTTATAAAGAATCTTTGGTTGTTTTGAATTCTTAGATCTAGGGGAAAAAAATTATAATTTATAATAAAGACTATACAAACAAAACCCTCTTCAGTTTTCATGCAATCTATATTTTATGAGAACACGTGATTATATATATATATATATATTCAGAGGACGCTCTTTTTTTGGCGCAAATCATCATTTCCACATGCTTTAGATCTAGGTTTCAAAGTGGTCAATATTTTATGAGAAATTAACATTGTTATTAAAAGATACTGTTAAATATTCCAGCATGATTAAGCCTGGTTTAATTATAATGAGTTAATCCAAGAAATTTAGAACTCCAAACTTAACTCGAGTTAAATTTATAATTAAAATTAATAAGATATTTATTAAGTAAAACTTAATTGATTTGAATTAGATTTGGTATGATTTAGTTAATATAATTAATCCTAATCTAAGCATGATTGTGGGTAAAAAAAAACTTTATTTAAAAAAAAAAGTCATTAACTTGGTGACAATTATGATATTATTTAAAGAGAATTAATTAAGTCATTGAAATGATATTTCACAAGCGACAGAAGAGGGGCAAGAATAGGGGCATGCGGCATCACCGATTGCGTTATATCCATTGTTCATGGTCTTTCTAACAAAATTACACTGCAAATTCTACATAGGAAGACAATTTAACCGGATATAGAACAAAAATCTCAAAAGTTTATGAATAAGATTGACAAGAATAAGTTTGAAAAGAAATCTACAGAAATATTTGATAGCATTTCATAGGAAACATGAGTTGACTTTCAATAAAATAAAAAGAGAATTCATCAAGTATGATCATGTTAGAAACTCGGTTAAAATTTATTAATTTTTATTTTTTAAGATTTTAAAATAATATTATTTTTAATTTTTATAAAATATAAAAAAATAAATTAATTCAAGTTATATCACCCATCTAATCTAATGTATGACACAAGACTTTCCCCCGACCCATAGTCAGTTTTGAAAACCATGGTTTTAGCTTTCTCTCGGGTTTTTTTCCTCATAGGCTGAGTGATTAGTCTCTGTAATGTAATTGGATTTGGGGCTTTGTTGAAAGAAAATGGGCTTCTTTCATTTTCCTGGAATTCAAAAGGTGGAGGGGAGCTTATCCATTGGTAAGCAATTGAGCAATGAACTGGACTTGGTCGTGGCTTGTAGCCCAATAACTTAATTCTTAATTAATAAGGTTTAAATTATTATTTTTTATCATGATTAATGAGAAACAGTAAATTGCTATCAGAAGCAAACCCAAACTTAATAAAATAAAATTCTATCTGTAGATTCAGAACCATGATACAATAGCTAACAACATCCTGATTTCAATCATTAGATCTACCATAATAATTCTTTTTTTTTGTTTTTATTTATTTTTATATCTATAAAATCATTTGAAAAGGAGATTTTGTCCCTATTAATGTATATTTTGATTGATTTATAAGTTAATTCGAAGGTACATTATAGTAATTAATCACTTGAACCATCAAGTTAAGATACAAAATATTATTCCATCAATCAATATTAAGGTTACAAGTGCAACATGTGAACAGAAAAGAGAAAAAAATCAACCATAATTTAGCCGGAAAAAGTCATTTTGCACGAAGAAGCATCCATCTTGTGTTGGAATCAAGTGAAACATCTGCAACAACATCAAAGAAATT